TATCATTTTAGTGACTAATGATTCTTTGTACTTGAATACATAATACAATTATAAAATATCATCAACATCTTATATTATGAGAATTATTCTTAAACAAAATTAGATTAAAGTATGGATGATTTTGTTTGCAAAAAAAAATCAAAATGATGTAATTTATTAATTATTCAAATTCTACAAAATGTATGTTGGAGTTGCCTTGAATTTGGCTCGACCTCTATTTATTCATATCTTTGATCTTTGTACGCTTCTCAGATATGTCGGGGGTCCAAAGGGGTAGCACCCCCTGATGGGGTTCAACCTGCCCGGTCAGGTCGAGGGGTCAAGGGGCAGCGCCCTGCCGGAGATGCCCCCTGGGTTTCCGGAGGCAGCGTCCCTGAAACAAATTTTAGTTATAAGGATATTTTTGGATTCTCTTTAATATTTTTCTTTGTATTTGACAATTGCCTAAAGATCATAATATTTTAAAACATTTATGGAGCCAATTGCCTAAAAACTCTTATAATAACACATCCACATAATGTGTATAATTTTTCTTGGGGGGCAATCACCTAAAGATCATAATATTTTATTTTTTTAGGGGGGGAAATTGCATAAAAACTCCTATAAACTATTTAAAAAGTCATATAATAATAATAAAAAATTTTTAGGGGGGGCAATTGCCCCCATTGAATACTATGGGGTTCCGTCCCTGCTGAAGTATGATGGCTACAAGAAACCTATTGTTTCACTTTTTCAAGAGAAAAAAGAAAATTCTATAATACTCACAACTTCTAAAATATATACTTTCTCAGAACAATTCTAAAATTATTTCTACAACCGACCATTAGTACTATAACAATTTGATAAACACTGATATGATATGATTTGAACAAAATACTCTTTTCTCATGTATTTTAACATGCTTTATTCAAAAAATTCTAACAAATTTTAAGCATTCTACATTCTTTTACCTTGCGCTCAAATTTTATCAACATCTTACTACCAGGTTATAACATAGATATCAGATCATCTCTCCGTTATATTGACAACATTGCAACTCTTAATAAATTAGGCAAGCATGATTTTGGTTATGGTTCCTACTCCTTACCATTGATGGATGGATTTTATCACACATGGATGTCACTATAAGAAGCCATTGATCTTGTAGACAAATGCATCATAGAAATCCAGTCCAGACTCGCCAAAATTCATCGTGAAAATTGTTGGTGAGAACGGAACGATGGAGTATGCATGGTGTAAATCCTCCAGCATCGTAATGAACTTCTGACTCGATCATCTTCTCAATCAATTATAGGATTTTCTTATGACAGTAGTTTATACTGATTTATATTTGATGAATAAGCATAGTTTGCTCTTCTATTCAAGCATGATTTATTTCATGCTTCACTATATTTTTTATGATAGGTTCATCTTTACCGTTATAACTACTGATATCTTTTACCTATCTGGAACTTTAGCTATATGTGTCAACTAAAATTAGTACGTTCACTATTACAATACATTCAATGGATAGCCTTAAAACAGCATTACGTTACTCAAAATCTGTAGAAGTGGAGCAAATTTTTTTTGCAGCCAAAACATATTTATTGTTCATGCAGTGTAGCCAAAACATATTTATTTTTTATGCTCATTCTATACAAAATATATGCCTGCCACTAAGAAATAATATGTTAGCTTAAAAATTCCAATTTATCAACTTTCTTCTGAATGAGTTCTGCATGCTAAGTGCAGCAAAAAAATTTAACTAAATCATCCTCTAGAGCAAATCTGATGACCAGTCTGGCATATTTCTCAGAACTCTTCCATGCTGGCTAGTATGTTAAGTGAATTATTTCATGATTTGAGATCCATCATATAAATTTCCAAGTTTACAACACAAATTGCAGTAATTTGTCCTGCTTCTAGTGCATTTACATTATTATATATTCAATCATAAAAAAAAAAAATGTAGATTTTGAAGATGTGTAAGACTGTTACCTGTTTAGCTGTTAGATTATGGCCTCTTTAATTTTGCAATGAAGTAGATTTGCAACTGGTACATAAACAGAAAAAAACTGTTAACCACAAGAAAACCTTAACAAGCATAGATTTAAACCTATGAGTTCATAAATAGTTTACCATTGCAAGTTTTTTTTTTCCTAAGCTGCCATCTTTCAAAGATCAACCTTAACTAGAGCTCTGTACATTTTCTTGCTGCCTTCTGGCATCCCCAATCAATAGAAATTGAATTCATTGCAGTGGAAAGAGTATGGTAATAGTTCCTCAACCTCTATATGTGAGCTCATAAAATTCATGCTCCTATTGGGATGATCATAATTGATCAATTCAACCTCAGCATCGAAAATGCTATAGACCGGTCTATGGTCAGAAAATCTTGAATCACCACGAACATATGACAACTGTCGAAGTCCTCTTCCATACCATAATATGCGGTCGCACCTTTTAAATCAAAGAATTTAAGATATTGCTTAAAAATTCAACAAATGACACATAATATAAATTTTAGACCATAGTTAAAATACCAAGCAGGTTTTCGCCGTTTCGCTTTTGGGTGTATGTCATAACTAGAATAATGATCAGAGTTAGTCGAAAATTTGTAAGTGGGAGGGAAATATATTCTTCCTTCATTCCATCCGACGAAAACACGGCCACTCCTTTGTTCTATTCTAAGCTGATTTCAAAAGAAATAGAAGAACCGTAATTTTATCTAAAGCCCAAGAAAGTAAAGCAATCAACAAGATGGATAGATAATTCTGATAAGTAGATATAAAAGTAGGAGTAAGACCATAGAAGGATTTACAGATCACCTGATCTTTCTCAAGCAGCAGTTTCCAATTCTGCATTTCAATTAGAGCCTTGGTTGATTGATAAGAAAGAGCAATTCTGTAATTTAAATCTCCAAGCCATATTACTCGACTGAAATAAGAATAAGGGGACAAAACAAGCTTATGATCTAGTCATCAAGCACTTTGAATGTTTCATCAGATGAAAGCAACTAGTAGTTTTGAAATGCACTTACTCATGTTCTAATATTGTTTCAGGAGATTTTACATCACCTTGCCCACTAAATTGTGGAAATCTTGTCTTCCTTAGAATCTCCAGTACATCATAATTCCTTCGGAGTTCATCTCCTTCTTTTTGCCCAGAAGTTAAATGGCTGCAGATGAAGCAGAAGGTTGTCTCGTGCAATGAAATGCTGACTGAAATTGAACCCTGCAAGAATCAATCAATATTATTATTTTTCATCAAATCATATTTTCATAGCAGGTTTATAACACAAATTTCATACCACCAATCTTCAAATCAGTCTAAAATTTATATGTAAGCACAAGGAAAAATTATCCTTATCCGAACTATTTCGAGTCAACTTTATGAAGCATCATTTTCGATTAATTCCTATTGAGTGTTATCTTAGATGTTAAATCTATTAGTTTAGAATCATTTTGAACGGATTTTATCCATTTTAGAACCTTAAAATCAATCATTTCTGCATTCCTAATTCTTTAAAATTATTTTTATCAATTAAATATAAATGCTCAAAACATATTTTTCTTTTCATTCCTACTTAGTATCATCTAAGGTGTTAAAATATATTCTTTGTAAATCAATTTGTAAAGCTCATATGCATTTTAGTACTTTAGGATCGACATTTCTATCTTCTTGATCATTCGATGCTAATTCTATCAAACCCACAAAGATATTCGAAACATAAAAAGTAAATTATTTATGATTACCTTATTTCCAAGATAACCCATCAGCCCTCTGCCAACATGAGACACCTTCAAGTTCTTTACATCATCTCTTATTTCACACCTAACCCACACTGTGAGAAATATTCCAACCATTTGCTTGTTCACAACCAAACAATACCTTTTTTTTTGCAATAGAATAGTGAGTATTAATTAGCTCATTAAGGGTCAATAACAAGTGATTGAACTTAGCAAACTAAAATAAGTAAAGCTAAAGCCTCAAGTAGTACCTAGACAACCCTGCACATCTCTCTCTATCTTCCATATTAGTCGAAACTCCATAGCCGCAGGAGATTGGCGAGAAGAGTAAAGTATCTAGTGAGTCAACTCTGACATTTTCATCATCTGAAGAAACACCCCATGTAAAGCTAGGATCAAAATCACTCGGTCTGCCACCAAAAATGACTTGATCACATAGACTAAACCGACGGTTTATGGCGGCCTGATGATCGATCACATCACCATCAATCCTTGAGCTATGGTTGAGAGACTGTAAAGACCGGCGGTGAAAGAAAGACAAATTCTTCTGCCCTGTTGATGAACCCAAACTATCTGAACCGATGTCAAGGTCATAACCACAAGAACCAGGAAGATTGTTCAATGTCTTCCTAATGATAGAAATCCATTTGCTTGCTGGGCCATTGTCTTCTGTTCCCAGGACATTCCCAGCATTAAGAGGGACTATTTCCTGAAAACTTTGATAAGGAAATGAATGGAATTTTATACCAATTTCTAATGTTAAAACTTACTATGCTCTAATTGAAATCAAGATTTACCCTAAGACATAAATATCAGCAGGAGGTGAAGAATGAAGCCAGTCAAGGTTCAGACAGCTAGGTGGGGATTTTCCACCAACATTCCATGTCGCGACAAACATCCTAATCGACAAATTAAACCAGATAAAACTTTATCACCATTGAATCTCATAATGAGAGGACTTCGGCATTTTAATTTCTTGTTGAATTGAATAAGGAGGACACCTGCAATCCTTCGTATCAGTGACTTGAGCTTCATTACAATCAAATCTTGTTTGCCAACGTAGATCAGGATTCTTCCTACAGTATATATCTGTGGAAGTTCAATAAGATTAGATGAAAAAACGAAGGGTTTGATCCTCAATAAAATTTCAATAAGTTATGAGTTTATTATGAATCTATGGCCATTCTGGTACGAACAAAATGCATCCTGTCTATAAAAAACGAATCAAATTAAGGCACCAAAGGAAAGGAAACAGGAGTGCCACCTCTCCTCCCAACACCATCATTAACATGAAAATCCCGTGCTTTGCTCTTAATATTGAACCATTTCCTTACCAGGGCAAATTCCAGGGTCCTAGACCATGATAACTGAATAAAAAAGAGGAATAAATCAGAAATCCCACAACTAAATAGAAATTTACTAAGAAAAATTTAAGTAATATTAGGAAAAAAAAAACCTTGCTTTTCGCAGAATTCTCATCCCTCATTGTTACAGTGCTCCTTCATGCAGCCTATTATTAGCTGATTTCTTAGTAGATAAGCTCTACATTAGAAGAAGAAATAAGGAGGAAAACAGCTTTGGAAATGAAAGAAAGTATTTTGGGCTGCTTTGGAGAATAAAAATCTGATTTTTTGAGCTAATAAGAGTAGAGGAAATGGGGGATGAGAAGGGCCAGAACAAAAATGTTGGTTTAAGTAGAGAAAAGTTGGAGTCCTGGTAACGGAGAAAGCGATGTTGGCTGTGGAAACTTATAAGAGAGGATATAGAAACCTCGGTGTCGTAGGCACAGCCAAAGACTCCCATTTCAAGAGAATAAAGCGCTGAAATGGATCTCCCTCTCTCTATCTCTATCTCTTCCTAGCGCACTCTCTCCTCTGATCTTCTTTGGAGGTCCGATCCATCCAAGGATACACTAGCAAAGAAGGATAAAAACTACAACATGATGAATATTCCAAATGTTTTGAATACTCCATGCATTCAATATATTGTTTTTTTTAGGAAAATTAGGGGCAAAGACCCGTATATTAAATCAAAAGGTTACAAGTAAGAAAAATTACATGTAAGAAAAAAACTATACTTCCAAAAAATAACCAAAATGAAGTATAAAAAAAACCTACAGGACTAAGAATTAGGTCTACACCAAGTCAAGCATCATAGGCCAAATCAGCTTGAAACCGAGAGGAACACGCAGCAGCAAAATCCAACAAGAAGCCGGTTGCCAATAGCCAGGAAAACCTGCTGACCATCACAGCTTCTCCCAAAACTTCCACAATGAACTCCTTGGTTGCCAAAAGACCATCCTAAGGAGGAATGGTGTAGACCTTTGCTTATCATAGTCCAGCAAAATTCAAAATTTCCTCCAAGCGAAGACAGCTCACAGTCAGAAGAAGTTCCAATCTGAAAACCCTTACAGGAAGACAACTGTAGAATAGAAACACCATATCTACTCCGAAAATTCCAGGTCTCGAAAGAGAATGCCCACAGCGGAAATAGCCCAATCCCAAAAGTAAGCAAAATAAGACCAAAAGAACTGCAGCTAAAACAAAACCTCCAGCAAAAAACTAAAATCCCACAATCCATAAAAGAAAATGCCATCAGTTCAAAATATTCCCAAACTAGATAGAGAACATTTCTCTAAATCTTCAGCTTTTAGATTTAGCCCGAATAGCCGATAAAACTTTATGCTGCACAGAAATTGGACTTTCCCAATCAGAGGAAAACCTTCTATTGTTTCTTTCCCTCCACAGAAAATAAACTATCCCAAAAATAATGAGAGAGCAGAAATTCTTATCCCATCTATTCAGCAGAATATTGTTGTCTAAAAATCATAAATTTGCATAAGATTAGACCTAAGATAAAAGCTACTAAGCATAGGAAGCATGCCAGTAAGACGAGAGAAGGAGAAGTCGCATTCAAAAAAGAGATGGGAGTGGGTTTCCAGACAGCCAGAACAAAAAGAGCACAGGGGGAATGTAATATCAAAAAATCTGCTCCAGGATCGTCCAGGACGATCTGGATCGTCCTGGGACCCATGTACTGTATCTGTAGATGATTGTTTTGAGGAAAATGAAAATATAGATGTTTTGTTCCGCTGCGTTTGATGATTTATAGTAGCTCTGTTGTTCTGTGTTTGTGTGTTTGTTGAGTTGATTAATTTGGAAGATTCAGTTCAGTAACCAAATTCCAAAGCCAGATCCTGGATAAAAAGGTTTTGTCGCGGCCCGGTGCGAGTAGGGTCCGTCCCGGATCGGGTCGGGTCGTGACAGGGAAGGCCAGAATACCCCTTAGAATAAGCTGATCAGCGCATTTCAACTTCCCTTGAATAGCCATCCACGTGAAACAGGAAAACCGAAGGGCATGCTTCCTATGCCAAATGTATTTGGACCATCTAACATCTTCCAGGTGATAAAAAAATAGAGCAGTAAAATATTTGAAAGTAGGGGATAAGGAACCCAACAAGGATAAAGCTGGTTGCTCCTCAATGTTGATTTTTAAAATCAAGCTCTTAATGTCTTCAGGTAAGTAATCTGGCAGATTCCAAGAACCGTTCACAATGAAGTCCTGAATTAATCCAAAAGAAAGCCTACTGGAGCCAAAATAATTAGCCAGCACATTACCATTGAACAAAGGGTCCCAAAGCAAAGAGAGAGTACCATTGGGAGTCACATTAAATTTAAGAACATTTCTTATGCTGTGAGAGGTGTGTCAAATTAGCTTCAAAAACTTGGAAGCAGAAGGAGTGGGGGGCTTCGAAGGGGATTCAAAATTAACTCTATACCACCAGCCCAACAAGGAGTTGCCATTGTACATACGCCAAATAAATGAGCAAGCCACACCATAATACAGAGATTTAAAAGAAGGCAGGCCCAAAGCCCCTTTGCATTTGGGCCTAGTCACAGACTTCCAAGAAATAAGATGAAGTTTCTTATCATTCAACTTTCCAAAGAAAAGAAATTTAGAGCAGAACTTGGAAATGATCTTCTGACAAGATTTGGGTATAATTGCTCCACGAATCCAGTAGGCCAGAGTATTAGAAATTATAAATTTTAGGAATTGAACCCATCATGCAAAAGAGAGAAATTTGACTTTCCAACCCTCAAGTAGAGCAGAAATCTTGCTCAACAGAGGTTGGAAGTGAGTAAAATTAAGCCTTTTGGAAGTAATAGGGATACCCAGATAGGTAAGAGAGTCCCTAATATTAGAAATGCCCAAGATAGCAGCAATCAGATCACCATTGTCCACCATATTAGAGAAAAGGATGAAACTTTTCATCGGATTAATCTTAAGACTCGAAGCTTCAGAGAAACAATGAAGGACATTTTTCAAGCAAGTAACATTCTCCAACGACGCATCACCAAAAACAAGAAGATCATCTGCATACATAAGATGATTGAGCTCAAAATTCTTGTGATTAATCCCAATAAAAGAGTTACTGTGAGGGAGTAGGCAAGAAGAAAGTCCATCCATGATGATGCAAAAAAGCAGGGGAGAAAGGGGGCAACCCTGACGAAGCCCGGAGGAAGAGTTGAAAAATCCCTCCAAAGAGCCATTAAGGCAAATAGAGAAATACACCTCCGAGATGCAACCCTCAATCCAAGTAATGAAAATCTCAGGGAAACCTTTATCCCTTAATCTATTAATCAAGAAGACCTTGGAAACTATTTCAAAAGCCTTCTTAATGTCAATCTTTGCACTGAAGAATTTTGGTGAACCTTTAAAAGCTTTCAGTAATTCAGCAGCAAGAACAATATTATTAGTGGAACACCTTCTTGCAATGAAGCCAGCTTGGCTCTCATGGATGATGTAAGGAAGAACAATATTTAATCTATTTGCAAGAATCTTAGCCATAATCTTGTAGAACACATTGAATAAGGAAATAGGTCTAAAATCAGCAATGTTGGTGGAATGAGTTCCTTTAAGAATGAGGCAAATAGCTGTAGCTTTTGCCCCTTTAGGAAGGTGACCCGAGCTAAAGAAATGTTTCACAGCCTTGCAAAGATGGTCCCCAATTAAGTGCCAAGTTTGTTGATAGAAGCCAAAAGAGAAGCCATCAGGGCCAGGGCTAGAGGTAGCAACCCCATCAAAAACAACAGACTTAATCTCCTTAGTAGTAACCGGAACCGTTAGAACATCCAAGAGGGAGGAAGGAATACAGTTGCCAATAGGGATGCTAAAAGAGTTTCCAAGAGTAGGACTAGGGGGGTTTTACAAGGCTTGAAAATGATCTATCAAGACAGTAGCAATGACTTGATGAGAAGTGTGAATACCCCTTTGAGAAACAATTTCTTTGATACAATTTCTATTTTTTCTAGCTCTAATCATCGCATACAAAAAACCAAGGTCATCTTCTTCCTGAGAAAGCCAGTGTACTTTTACCCTTTGAGAAATCCATGAAGACCAAGCGGATTGTAAAGAGGCAAGATATCATTAGCCCTTTTAAGGGTAGCATTAAGATCCAAATTTAAAAGATCAAGCTGAATATTAGAGGGACATTGAAATTGAAAGCTCTTAGCCTCTAAAATTGAGTTGGAGAGGAAGTTAGAAGTGGCCCAGCATTTATCCTTAAGGGAAAGCTTAAGATTTGTCAGAGAGTTATAAAATGAGGTAATAGGGCTGGCAGTGATAGGTCTATGGAAAGCATGCAGAACCTCCTCCCAAAAACCATCCATCTTACACCAGTAATCCTTGAACATGAACTGAGAATAAGTTTTAGTAACCGGGGAAGCCATCATGATCAAAGGGGAATGATCAGAGCCAATAGGAGGGTCCACCTTATAATAAGCTGAAGGAAAGGATTCCAGGAAAGCAGCATTTACAAGGGTTCTAATAAGTTTAATATGAATGAACAAATCAACCCTTTGGTTAAACCAAGTAAATGAAAGTCCAACCGAAGCCAGATCTTGCATTCCACTATCAAAAATAAAGTTATTTAACTCCCCCAGCCTGCTGGGAGGAAGAGGATTGCCACCAACTTTTTCAAAGTGAAATCTGCAATAATTGAAATCTCCCATGATAGCCCAAGGATGATTAATACCAACAGCTAAGGCCAAAAGGTCATCCCAAAGAATCTTCTTATCATCTATATGATTAGCTGCATAAACCATAGAGAGGAATATGGGGGTGGGGTTTAGGGGGGCGGTGATGGGGGATGTTTAGAAGACAACAAGACATATAAGAGTTTTAAAAAAATATAATACTCAAGGAAAGTCATAGTGGTTGAGAATAAAAGTAAAAAAAAAGGAATCTAGACATAGAACGAACAAAAATATCAACTCATGACATAAATATATTGTTAATATGAGAGAAATTTGAAACCCCGATTGCCATTTGACCATCTAGAGGTAGCAGGAGAATTGAATGGCATGCAAGGGGGAAAGAGTGGAGGGAGTGATACCCACTTATCTTCATCAAAAGGGCCTATAAGAAATCCAACAACAAAGAACAAATCCTTTACTTCTTGGTAGCTTTTCCAAAGAGGAGATTTTACTTAAAATGTCATTTTTAATATATAAGCATAAATATTGATTGCATTGAATTTGATTGCCAAATCTCCTATTATTTCTTTCATGCTAATAAAGTAAACCACATCATATATAATTAGCCAATTGCATTAAAAGCAATTCATCTTGAAGCACCATTATTCATAATATAAGCAAAAAGGTTATAGAATGCTCGATCTCCTTAGAATTTTAGAAGCAAAGGGGAGCAAATTGTTTAGTATTTTATATGAGAACTAGCACTTTAAATAAATATTAGAAGTGCTTTTGTTTCATGCAACATAAATTGAGCAAAGGATGAGCAGAAATATTTCTCTTGATAAGAGCATCTGCATGATCCAAGTGAAAACAGAGAACCACAATGAATAATTCTTATGTCATTCAAATTTACTTCACATAGTAGGTTCAAGATTTGTGTAGAGAATATTAATGAAATGGCAAAAATAGCATCCTAGCTAGTAAACACCATTAGCAATAGAAGCAAATGAAGAGTATGGTTGAGAACCTAAGAGGAAAATTGTAGTAGTTGTTACTAACAATTGCAGGCATTACAATGTTGGAGTTTAAGTAAGGTTAAATCTCAAAAATTTGTAAGAACTCAAACAAATGTTTTCTATTGTACAATGGGTCCTAGAAAAGTAAGATTTTCTTGCAATTTGAGAGGTTAAAGGAGAGGTAATATTTTGCAATGATAGCAACTAACATAAGTTGTTTCTAGAAGATGCATCCATGGGGTTCTATTTTTGACAAAGAGGTATTTAGCATTCCACCATCTAACCAACATACTCTCATAAGAGTGTAGGCACCAAATGAGTGAGCATTTATAACTATAGTTAAGAGTAGAAGGGAGGGAATACTTAGGCCCCCTAATTGTTTAGGCTTGAAAGCACTATATTAGAAGATAAGGTGAAATTTTCTAGTGTGAGTGTCTCTATGAAATAAGAAGGCATCCAATTTGTTGATGAATTTAAAGCTAGTGTTAGGTAATATAGTTCCTCTAATCTAACATGATATTATATTCCATATAGTAAATCTCATTAATTGAAGTCTCTCTGCCAATGGAAGGGCTTTGGCCTTCCAACCCTAAACCAACGAAGAGACATTGCTTAGGAGTAGCTAAAAATAAATCACTTCTAGCTTTTTCATAGATACTCAGATACTCAGGTAAGTGAAGGTAGTGGAGGACCCAACGATTTTGATATTATGTCAAAGCTCCTCTTGGTTAGGGTATACTTATAAAAGGTTATAAATAATTTAGAATAGTTCATATCTAGGCTAGATATTACTTTGAGGTACTTATGAATATTACTGAGATGTTGAATATTGGGGTCATTCTCTTTCCCTAAAATAAGGTCGGCACCCTTTGTTGACCTTATTTTTCACATGTTTTCCCCTCGAGCATGCTCGATTGACTCAATCGAGCCTCGTTAGACCCACTTTGAGTTGAATAAACATTGATTCAATTTTGATTTTACCAAATTAATGTAATCAAACCCAAATTGATACAAATTGATTCAAATCGGGTTTGAGTCAAGTTTAATTTTATCCCTGATTGACTAAAATTAAATTCAATTAAACTCCAAACCACTTTCCAACTAACTCAAATCCCTTCCCAAATCAGAAAATGCGATCAGATTGCTAAAATTAAAAGTAGCTGGCTCTATAGCTTTGTTATATCTTTTGTTATTTTCTATTATTATGGTCCCAGAAAAGAGAATTCTGATCTCAATCCTCAGATCAAGGGCATGATAGGTATTTTCCTTCTTCCTTGGTTGAATGAGGCTTACGACCTGAACAAAATTAGAGTGATGGAAGTCCCTATGCTGGTTCAGTTTGCATTAGAGACAGGAGAGGAGGATTTTGTAGGGGCCTTTTATTTCATTTGTGCCCAGGAAATTGAGAGAGGGAGAAAGTGAGGGGATTTAGATTCCTTCCTATTTGGTTGGTGTGATCCATAGAGACAGAGGGAGGGAGGTAGAAGCTCATGGCTAGGAGGGATAGATGGAGTAGGCAGCATGCTGATTGACCTATTCTTCTTCACATTGCAGATATACCTTCCTTCCCCTCTCATTCTTCTTCTTCATCTACTGATTACATTTTTTTCTTCATTATTTTTCTTTATTTCCTTTTCCCATTTTCCTTCTTTCTCTTCCTATTTTTCTTAACATTATTCCCTAGTAAAGATCCCAAGTAAAGGTGTTTTACTTCAACTTCTTTCTTGAAATTATTGGCTGAAATCTATTCATCCCCTTTAAGAGTTGAAGATTTGTTATTTTTTTCTTTTTCTTCACTTGAGAATGAAGTTATTGCCTATAAACTCATTTCTTTAAAGATATATAGGTTGGACTACCTCAAGCTGTGGGGCTATGTCTCCTATGGAGGCCTTCCTCATGCCCATTATGACAATGCCATATACCTCGCAAGTTAAGAGAGAAGGTCTAAAGATATGCATAAATTATCCCCTTTATAAAAATCTAAAGTCAGTCTTAGGAATTCAATCCAACTCCTTAGCCAATTGAATGTTAAGTCTTATCTCAGGCAGAACCCTCGTATATCTATAGGTAGTAAGTTTTTCATTCTTATGTCAACCTTTAAAATTGATTAACCTTATACATAGGAAACCTAGAATTCTTGTGGTGGGCGATAAGCTCACTTAGTGTGTCACCCATTAGCCTTACTTTAAGTCATAAAAAATCAAGGGAGGACTAACTGACCCTACCTCCTCATAATCATTTTAGCCTTGGTTAGGTGTAGGATTGAGGATGGATAATTTTCCCCTAAATTTTTTAAAACACTATTATAAGTTAGAGTCCATATATTTATGCTTTTCATAACTTAATAATCAGAACTATAACTCTAGATTTAAGTGTTAATTAATTCACTTTAAATAACTTATTACTTAAAGAAAAACTTTAAAGGTAATAAATTGAACGATATGAACCCAACCTTATAATTTTAATCCTTCACCTAATATGGGGTAGTTAGGTAACACTAATTTTACACACGCATATGTGTTGGATAAGACATATGTTTGTTGGCATCCTAGGGTAGGGTGTATCTAGGATAACATTTTTTAATTTCTTTATTTTACACTTTACTTTTATGATGATGTGGTGATTATTTCTAACTTAGATTATTTAAGATTATTTTATTTTATTTTTATGGATTGATGAGTGAGGACTTGCCCTTATTGTGTTTAGATTATTTATAGAAATATTTTTTGTAGGTGGCCACATTTCTAAGGGGCTATTAAAAATGCTCAAATAATTATTCTAAATGCCCCCTTTTAAAGGTACTACAAAGATTCTAAGCCCTTGAGAATATGACCCTAAGGATTAGACACGGATATACATATTATATATTTTATTATAATTATGCTAATCTATTTTTGTAGGGAATCTAAATAATTTTTATTTTTAAAATATAATTTTAGTTAAAAAAACCAAGCAGGTGTATTGGTATTTCAGAAGCAAGGAGGCTAAATATATAAAGATCGATCAAGAACCTACGCACCTTTTTAGTTTTGTATAGATTTAGGTTGAGTTGTAGTTATGATGGAGCTCATCTACCTTTGTTCATTTTTTGGGGGTGTATTACAGAACCTAGCTGCATTTATAACCTTTAATTATTATTCATTTTTTTTTATGATTGGTGTGTTTATATTTCTTGCACATTAGAACTACATATTTTTATTAGGTTTATTTTATTTCTTTGCTTTGGGTAGCTTGGATAGAGTCTTCTTTAGGTTATTAGGATGTTAAATATTCTTTAAAGATAAAAATTTTCTTAAGGAAGAAAATTGAACATAAAACTTAAAATTAACCAACTTTTTAAAACTAAATGCATTACCACTCTTGGTTTATTTTTTTTAAAAATGCAATTATTATTTCAAACCAAGTCCACTTCATAGTTGCTACTAGCTAGTTCTAATTAGCCCTACCCATACATATATAGACTGAGTTGAGCATATTGATTTTACTTTTATCACATAGAGGGGTAGTTCACCTTTGTATTAACATTTTATCATATATGGTCGGGCTTAAGGCCCATTCCTTTTCTATACCTCCCATAACTTTTGCATTTGCATAAGACCATATTGCATGAATTTGAGATGCTAGGTAGAGTTTAGCTGGTAGCCATTTTTGAGCAGGGTGGTAAACCTAAGTCGGGACTGCTTAGATCCTTTGTGGGGTTTAGGTTATAAGTCTGCTCAGTGTCTTACATTAGTTAAGTCATAGGTGTTAGTACTAAGGGTACATTTTCATCCTCTGTAGATCTAGCATCAAAGGCTAGTAGTATGAGTATACCATTTTACATCTTATCATTGAGTGAGCTCTCTACTCTTTAGAGTCTATAAATCCCACTTATCTATGTCACACTGATGATGTTGCTTCCATCTTTCTCTCATACATGCTTTAGCTCTGATGTCTCCTCTCCTAATTTTTCCCCTTCTAATTGACCGAGTAATTTTATAATCCTCATGTGTTGAATAACCTGGTTGAGTTTATCTTTATTTAGATTAGGTAAGTCTAAAGATTCCACTATGTGCCAAACCAAGAAGAGAGTAAAATACATCTTTAATCAAGAGTATTCTTAGGTTAAAACCT